ATCAATTAACTGGGGTGGACAGTGGTGACAGAGAAACGTCCAAGTGAGGAAGGTCTTTTAACAGGAGAAGTGAGAAATACAGTCCTTCCTTTTAGAGTCTTCAAAGCTGAAACATCATAAGATCACCATTTTAAAAACCTCCATCCAAATTTTCATCTCTGTCAGGACAGTTGATTTGTGTGGAGGTGAGAATTTCCAGGCCAGGCATGCTAGGTGCAAGCCATATGGTCTCAGTTGTTCCTGACTTAATGATACACTCTTCATTGCCTTCCTTCTCTTCCCTGTCTCACTCTCCCATTCTTCATGAGGCTTCCTAGGATCAAGACCCAAATAATCTCTTTGCACATAAATCCTTGTTCTAATGTCGGCTTCTCAAGTATCCAGACTAAGACAGAGCAACACACTGATGTAATCAACATTGATTATATTATGTATATTTGCATATTTGAAGGTGTTTCTGGGAGGGCTCTATTTCTCAGATGCATTTAAAACTCACCTCTGATGTCCAGACTCTCCTTTGGTCCTGTGGGTGGCCCCTCTTTACTGATGGGACCTTGCATAAGGAACTTTGATGGTGCAGTGTTTAAAGCATTTGGCTGCTAAGCAAAAGGTCAGCATTTTGAACTCACCAGCCACACCATGGGAGAAAGATCATGCAGTCTGTTTCTGTAAAGATTTATAGCCTTGGAAACCCTATGGGGAAGTTCTACTCCCTCCCATAGGATGACTATGAACCAGAATTGACTCAATAGGAGTGGGTTTTATTTATTTTAAAATTTAAATTTTTTTTTTTTTTGGTTTTAGCCTCATGTTCACACAGACTGAGACCTCATCTGTCTGTGCCCTGCACTGCTTGTTCTTACCAGGCTCTTGCCTCTTCTTAGTCACCCTATTATTAATGCCAACTTTTATGATAGCCTCCCCTCCCTAGTTACCCTCCTGTTCCCTCTCTTCCTGATCTCTAGGCTTCTGACCACTGCTCCTGAAAGTGACTTCCTGAAACACAAGTCAGCTCAAAGATTCTCTTTGGTCCGAGCTCCAGCTCTGCCATGCTCCAGCTGGGATACTGGGCTGGCCACTTATCCTCTGAACCTCAGTTTGTCTGCTGTTAGAGTGCTGACACCTGCCTTCCCAGTGTCCTAAAAATGGTGAAGAGTAATTACAAGAGTATTAGCTTCTGGAGTTAGACTGCCCAGCTCAACCACTTCCCAGCCATGTGAGTGTGGGCCACTTTGTTAACCTTTCTTTGCCTTGGTGTCCTCCACTCTAAAATAGGAAGGATGACAAAATCATTATGAAGATGAAATTAGAATACAAAATATGATCTTTAAGCATTTTTGCTTGCATATCCCCTAAAATAATTTCAAAACTATATACTTGTGTACATTGTTTTGTTGACATCTAAACTTTTAACCATAAATGTAAATTTTTGCAAAGGATATAATTTCCAGACCATCACCAATATGGATATTTTAAAATAAAATGGCTACCTCTTTCTTTTAAATCAAAGTGCCATGAATTTAATAAACTCCTCCATTTATTAAAAGATTCCATGAGAAAAAAGACTCCATGAAAAAGCTTTAACTGTTAGAAATTTTGTATTGTCTCTTTTTCTCGTTGAACTTTTATCTTTAGTTCATCTCCCTACAGAATTTTATCCTACTTTCGTACATATTTTTTTGTTTTGAAAGTACTTTATTGATCATGCTATTATACTTCTTTGTAAAAGAGTGATCATACATTTAAGAATTTTTTGTTTCCAGCTAAGTATCTATGTGTTAAAATAGTTGTTCTGAATTGAGTTATCAATATTGCACAATTAGTAAGATTTGGACAATCACTTTAAACTTAATCAAAACCCCATAAATATATTATAAATCTAGATAAATAATTAATCATAAGATATAAAATGTTATTAGAAATGCATTTTTATTGAGATGGATTTTTATTTTTAATCCATACACCCTAGGATAAATTTGCTTAGTGGGAGAATCCAGCATCAGTTCTATGTCTATGTTTTTATAGATGCTAACTCTGAAAAACCTTGTTCAATATAAAAAGAGGTAAGAATGAATGAAGTTTTGTTATCATATTTGGTACTTTAATCTGCTTCTATCTTAAATGTCAAAAGTCACATAATGATCTATCATCCAAAATGATTTTTAATACTCTACTAGCTGACAACTGGATTAGGTCATTGTTCAATCTTCATTGAGAACAAATTATTGGAAATCTCCTGCGCTGCAAAGGTTTAAGTCACCCAGTCACCAGTCATTCACTTTTTCAACACTGGCACCAAAAGCTCAAATCATTTCTTTGTTGCCCCACAGAGTTTTGGATTCTGGATAGATCTCCATAGAACCATTCAGGATGGGTGAGAAGTGGGCCCTGATTTTATCAAGTAGGGAAAGGTGATGAGAAAGGGAAGGAGGGCAAGGAGTACAGCTAGACCTCTGGCACATTCCCAGAGGATCAGTTTTAGGGGAAAATATATATGGAAGATGAAGATCTGGAAATTGATTACCTTTAAACTGTCCTTCCTAAGAATGACCAGTGGTATGCAGCTTCTAATTTGAAGACTACTGATTTAGATAACAGAGGAACCCTGATGGTGCAGTGGTTAAATGCTCAGCTGCTAACCAAAAGGTCGGCAGTTCAAACCCATCCAGTGACTCCACAGGAGAAAGATGTGGCAGTCCACCCCCATAAAGATTTGCAGCCTTGGAAACCCTATAGGGCAGTTCTCTGTCCTACAGAGTCGCTACGAGGCAGAATCGACTTGATGGCAGAGGGTTTAGTGCCAGGCATATATGAAATGTTAAATAAGTGTTACTTATGATTGTTAGGAGTGCTGGTGGCACAGTGGTTAAATTACTCAGCTGCTAACCAAAGGTCAGTGGTTTGAACCCACCAGCTGCTCCACAGAAGAAAAAAGGATGTGGTAGTCTACTTCTATAAAGACTTACAGCCTTGGAAACCTTATGAGGCAGTTCTACTCTGTGCTATAGGGTTCCTATGAGTTGGAATTGACTCAATAGCATGGTTGTTAGGGAGAGGGAGTCCCCGGGTGGTGTATACATTTACTATGCTACTATTCTTGGCTACTAAGGAAGGTTGGGCAATCCTACTTCCTTAGTGATACTGCCTCGGAAACCCAAGGAGGGGTCGCTGTGACTTGGGGCCGACTGGACGGCAAAACAACAACAACAACAACCTGAAAGGTTGGAGGTTTGAGCCCACCCAGAGACACCTCAGAAGAAAGGCCTGGCAATTGATTTCTGAAAATTAGCTATTGAACACCATATGGCAAATATATATATATAAATAAATATATATATATTCATAGAGACACCTCCTTGGGTTTCCTAGGTGGTATCTCCATGGAAGTAGATAGCCCAATCTTCCTTCTGAAGAGTGGCTGGTGGTTTGAACCACCAGCCTTCTGGTTAGCAGTCAGATGCCTTAGGCACTATGCCACCAGAGCTCCCAACAATGACAAAAACTGTATGGAACACAATTCTACTCTTACCCATGGACTTGCCATGGGTCAGAATGGACTCAAGGACAACTGGTTAGGAGTCTCTGGATGGTGCAAATAGCTAATGCATTTGGTTACTAACCTGAAAGTTGGTGGTTCAAGTCTACCCAGAGACTCCATGGAAGAAAACCTGGTGATTTGCTTCAGAAAAACCAGGCACAAAAATTTTTTGGAGCACAGTTCTACTGTGACACACATGGGATCATCATGAGTTGGAATTTGGTTAAAAAACCATCACTTTTTAAGCAGTACGATCATTAGTATTATTGCATTTACAAATTGCTCAGTACACAATAGGCACTCAGTGAATGAATGGTACTACAAAAAGAGTTTGGATACTGGTAGGGAGTTTGATTAGAAAACCTGTATCGCACCTGTAAGCCTAAGATGCTGTCATCCTGCATGGAACCTGCATTGGTTACCTATTTCTGTGTGAATGATTATCCCAAATGTAGTAGTCTGAAATAACAACTATTTTATTTACTCATACTTCCATGGGTCATTGATTTATTTAGGTTGTCCTCAGCTGGAGCCCCACACGCAGCTGTAGTGTTGAAGATTAGCTGCAGACTTGGTCAGGAGCCCTCAGCTGGATGGCTTGTGTCCATGTGATCTTACCTTGTGAGGCTCTTTACATGGTAGCAGAAGAGCCTCCAGCAACAACAGAGGCAACAAACTCAAAGGACAAGTGCCTTTGAAGCCTCTGCTTGTGATACATTGGCTAATGTCCCACTGACAACAGCAAGTCGTGTGTCCAAGCCTAGAGTTAGTATTGGAGAGGACTTTGTAAATACATGGATGGGTAACAGGGAGTTGTGATTCATTAGAGGCCTCTGATGAAAACATCTGCTGCAGAACCCCTGTGTCTCCTCTATTTCAGCTTTCCTTCTGTTTGTGGTGAATTCAACTGCAAGCTCTCTGGTTGGGCACTTGTTGGGATAAATCCCTGCTTATCCTTATTTTCCTCTGAAGCTAGAATCAGTTGGCTTTCCTCAAGGAGACCTACTGTGAAAGGACTTTTTTCCCAAAGGTCTTCTTACTTTTGGAAGGACATTAATCAGAGAATGAACCCCATTTTACAGTGAGGAGCTTCTCAGTAGCTGTCTACTTGTTGGCCCAGCTTGTTACAAGAAGATATTATCATGACTAAAGCAAAGCATTAGTCTGTTACTCCAGTTCTCTTGAAGTTAGAGCCCAGCGCAACTTGCCTATCCCAAAATAACTGTTTTGGACGTGTGGGATTTATGGCTTTATGTCTGACTAGATCCAGGGTTTTTACATCAGTTCACTGTGTTGTCCATGCTACGACTCTCTTGTACTCTTTCAAAGAGAAGTAAGAAAGCTCTTGTAGTTGGCTTGTACCAACAGGTACATCTCAACCTCTGCATTTCCTGGTAACTCCTGGAGCACATTTACCTGAAGTACCATTTATTTACTGTCTTTTTTTTTTTTTTTTTCACAGTGAGACATTATTTGGTGAAATATCCTCAAAACAGGTAGGAGTATTTTTTTTTTTCCTCTCTCTCTCTCTTTTTTTAATGAGACTCTCCTATTTCACTTTCTTTTGGTATTACCAAGAAATGATTAAATCCATACCTTTACCTAATTAGTCTACAATATCTTTACCACATTAGTCCACAATTTAGTCTAAAATGGATGTTCTGCATGTTTTCATATGTTTCCTAATTCCAAACTCTGGCTGTCACCTCTAGAGAATTCAGAGAATATGTGGTTCATGCTGACCCAACATGTGTGCAGAGAGGCTTAGCATGTGTACCTGGAGGGCTGCTCTCTTTATTCTGTAAATTTATGATGATGCTGGAAGCTTGACTGAGTAGTATTGATACCTTACTGACCACAAACACACCTAATCCCTTTTCACCAATGCTTAGTTATCCTATGTCCCATTCTTGCAGAATGTGGCCATCAGTAATATTATATGTACTGATATACTAAGCTTTTAGCTGGTGGGATGCACCTTATAGGTAATATAATAGTTATAAGAGATATTACAAACTCATAGTAAGCCTATGTATGTGTATGTGTGTATATGTATGTGTGTGTGTGTATGTATATATAATATGTATATAATATATTAT